AATACTTCTCTCTTGCAGATCAAGAAAAYAACACTGGCTTACTGAATGATATCAGTCAAAACTTTGCAAGCTACGCACCAGAACTTTTCTTGTATAAAAATTGGTCGACTGGAATGGAAAGTGAAAATAATGTTTGGCGTGGTGAAAAGTTAGAGCTATTTTATTTCGGAAATCATACAAACATAACTGAGGGAAATCTATACCCATTTGGACATGTGTTCTCGGATGGTCTTATTGGTCATGGTGTATATAAGTTGGTACGGTTGGCTAGTAGACTCATGAATGTTTTCTATTACCGCTTTGATTATGAAAGCAACCCCAGCTTGAAGCCTGATCACAATGGAAATTCTCAAGGTAATTGGTAAATTATATTCTTATATTTATTGAGATTTCTATGAAATATTATAAATCGCTTGAATTATGCGACCAATCATTTAATGCTTCACATGAGTAGAGGAAAGTCTGAAAGTCGAAGTCATGAGTAATTTTATTGTAATATTTATTAAGAGTATAGCAGAAAATGGTTTTCAAAAAATACAAAAATCTATCTTCATAATTTCCTAAAATTTACGGTATATTTAATTATTAAAATAATGCATCGTATATATAAAATGACTTTTTCTTTTACAGGCGTCGTTCATGCGGATGACTTGAAATACGTTATGCCGAGCAGATGGTATGGTCCTCAGTTTGCAATGGACTCACCTAATATGTTTATGGTAAAGCGCATGGTACATATATTCGAAACTTTTGCCATTTGGGGGTGAGTATGAGGTAAGCTTTCGAAAATACGCAGTGACTCTAAACTTCCGAATTTTGTTTAGTTCATTTGAAGCGAGCGATACTATTGATTGGCCAGCAGTAGACCCTGATGATATTAAAGCACTCTACAATAACGACGTGATGCATGTGGGTCAGGTTCCTTACCTTGAACGATATGCATTGTGGGATGAACTTTTTGCACAAGAAGCTAGTGGTGTAAGTCCACTACGACTCTCTGCTTTAGTCGCGTTGATAATTGCGGGGGTTGCAGCCGGAATTTTGTAAAAGTTAAAATTACATTAGTTCAATAATTGTAACAGTGTGTGTTTAGATGGATAATGCCATCTATTTATTGCCTACAATTTTATCTCTTTAGTAAGACGGAATCTCTAATCTAAATTGTTGAATGTTAAAAATACATTAACTAGGTTGGTCTTCATAAGATGTAATTGATCTTCGATTTTTGTGGCAGATATATATATTGATAATCTACATTTTGACAATAAAAATACATACAAATATTTTTGTTTATTTTATTAAATTTTTTTTTTACTTCTTGCATACGAATCAATGTGGCTCAAATCCGCTTATATAGTGTATAACCCGCTCGTACTGATAATTTTATAAATGGTAATAGTTGTAAGATAGTTACAACAAATAATGCTAAAGAAAATATGTACTAGATGAAATGTGGAGGTAATGGCAATTTAGCGCACCTATCCACACGGCTATTTGATCAGTGGAGCGGATAAAGATCAGATGTATGCCACTCAAGAAAACTAGTATGCTCGCATGTTTATTTACGAAGGTAACTTGTTTTCAAAAGCACATGTACTTGTATAAGGCATCTAACATATATAAAATGTTGATTTGATGAAAAGAAAATCATGTGCGAGGACATATCAAGTAAATGCACATATTCAAATTTATAAATCCAATGGAGAAGAACACAACAGTGTTGGCGAGCGAAAGTCCTGTTGTGCTTGGAACTTTCACTTTCTTGTGTCGCCAAAAGTGGCTAACAAACTGTAACCAAAACTGGTTAACAAACTTTTGAGTCTGAAATTAATTTACGAGGCAAGTAAATTTCTGGAGTTAGTACCAAAGGAGGGTACCGAAATAAAGGTATTCAACTGCGAATATCCCTAAAATATACTGCTGGCTCTTAAACGACATAATTGAAATATACAATCTCTTAAAAGACATGAACAACTAGAAGCTATCATTTTTTCTTGTTTTTTTATTTATTTATTTATTATTATTATTTTTTTTTATTTTTATTTATTATTTTTTTTTTTGTTTAGGTAATATCGAATCCCATACTTGTGCTGCAGTCAGATGGAGCTTTAAGTTTCTACGGATACTTGTACTTGATTCTATCCCATAGACTTCAGTAGAAGATACAGGTAATAATGTAATGGTGAATAAATTAATATCTCTTGCAATAGTGGTGTCTCTAAATCTAGAATCTGATTACTTTCTACACTATTTCTAGATTATTATGTCAGTCTAACTGAGTTATACCAACCCCCAGACGCCTGAATAGAAGCGGGATTGTTCGCATAAGCTTTAAACTTTACATATCCCAACAGAAAAAAGTCTAACGGTGTGATATATTACACGATATTGGCGGCCAATCGACTAACACAAAAAGTGAAATTATTTGTTCACCGAAGTGTTCTCTGCTCAATAATTCCAATGATTGATGCGTCACGAGCTTCAACTTTAGAAATCAAATAATCGGCTGTTATGGTGCGACAAAGGTCGCCACTGACGGTTACGTTCTCCATGGCATCATTTTAGAAGAAATATAAGCCGATGATTCCAACGGATCACAAACCACACCGAACCGTTGTTTTTTCTGAATGAAATGACAGCTCTTGAATCTCTTCAGGTTACTATTTGTTCGAAATGAGGCGATTTTGCTTGTCGTGCTGTCCGTCAGGTTTTCGTGTACACCCTTGGTTAAGTTTCCTTCACTGCGTGAATATTATCGTTATAAAAGTCGATAAAATTATGGAAAAGATTGACTAGGACCATCTGTTAAGCACCCATGACATCGCTAAGGAACTTACCGTTCATCATCAAATGCTCTTGAACCATTTAAAAAAGGCTGACTACAAAAAGAAGCTCGATGTTTGGGTACCATACGATTTTTCTGTGAAAATTTGAATGGACCGAATTAACATCTGCGATTCTTTCCTAAATCAAAATGAGATCGAACCATTGCTGAAGTGAATGGTAATGAAAGATGGAAAATAGATCAGATATGACAATAATAACGTGCGAAAAGGCATGGTTCAAGCGTGGTGAAGCTCAACAAATGGTCGCAAAGCCAGAATTGACACCCCGAAAGGTTATGCTGAGTGTTTAGTGGGATGGAAAAGGAACCATTAACTATGAGCTGCTCCAGCCTGATCGAACTGATGTTCTATCTCAAGCAACCAAGTGATTTATTTCTTGATCCGATCCACTCTAATGATAGAATTCTAGAGCAAAATTTATGGTGAAGCAAAAAAAAATCTGCTGTTTTCTCTTATTTCTATTTTTCTCTGCAGTTTCCTGGTTTTGGTTCTAAAAAATGTATACCTAATGAAAGGTGCCTTGTTATTGGTATCTATATGACTGCACTGACAATGTATAAAAATTTAATTTGTTTTCTTTTGAATCGGTTACATAAGATTTTGAGAGAAGACTGCAACGCTGCTCATAGTTGTATAAGGAAATTATCAAATTTTTACTGAATTAGAAAATAAGTATAAGTATGTATATTCAAATTAGAGATTGAATATTAAAAAAATTATAAATATTTATTTTTAATATTTTTTTGTTTTTTTTTTTTTTTTTTTTTTTTTTTTTTTTTTTTTTTTTGTGATTGTTTTTTAATATTTTAATACTTCACACCCACTGTGCGCTGCGTACAAAGTTGCAGCCCACTTAATAAATGCAACAATTATAATTTTCATGACTTCCAAAATGTCTTACTTACCAACAGCTAAAAATATAACGGGAATTTAATGAATAGACTTTCATTCATAGAAATGTGTTTATCATTTCACAAAGAAAAGACACGACATTACTCATTAAGAAAACGATAAAAAATAACACAATTGTTATGCACATAAAACCGGCATTTATGTGGCGACATTTATGCATACATACAGATACTTGCTATATGTAAATGTTTGTATGTAGATATCTATTTTGGCGCAATTGATTAAGATAAAAATGTGCGCCGGTAGTCGCCGTTTAAATCTTATCTGCGCTTTATCTTTGATAGATTGATTCGCATGCGTTAAGAAATAAGGTTGAGTAAATATATAAGTATGTATATATGTATGTAGAATGAATATAAATATGAAAATATATGTTAATGATAAATGCTTTACTTGCATACCAAATGACTACATTAAGGTGAGCTGGTATTTAAATATTTCCTTGTTTATCTTAAYAGATATTTATATGAGTAAGTATATTTACTAAAACTGATAAAGTGAGCTTAATTTATATGAGGAAATAATTTATGCTTTGTTTGTATGTAAATATAAAAACCTGGAATTGAAAGTAAGTGTATACAGTATCTGTATAACTGGTCTATCCAGCAGTAAATTGCAATTAGCAGTGGGACTCACCTGTAAAGAAAAGATAAAAATAGGAATCTTAGTTATTAGTTTTAATAGTTCAGACGAAAATTTGATAATAATGTGTTTGAAATGTGATTAGATTCCATAAATTATAAAATAAGCAAAAGTAAAATTAAAACATATATATGAATACAAAAAAAATCTTATCAGCCATTAACACCGAAAACTTTCACATGCTTAAATAATAACTAAAAAATTTTAAAAAGAGAAAAGTAGTTTCATTGGTAGTCTCTTAATTTACAAAATAAATGTTGTAAGAATAAATGAATAATGTGTAATCTTTTGAGCGTACAATATAATATGAGTTATAAATTTAAATTGTTCAATACGTTGAATCTGATACCCAAAACCTTTATATAAGTAGTCTAGCAAACCTAGCTTTTCGTTTACCATTATAATCTTTTAATGAAGTACCAGTTATATTATACAGCGAAGCGTAGAACCAAGTAGTATGATTGAAAAAACATTCAAAATTTTCAAAAAATGGAAACAACTTTACTTTTTTAGTACGCATTCATTTTCTATGACAAATAAATACAAATTGCTTACATTTAGGAGCGTAAAAGTAAACTGATAGTAACAGGAAAGGACCCACTTTTTCTCGCTCTTTTGATATTTCTCTTCAGTAAAGTTTGCCATTTTATCTTCGAAAGATAAACGATCCGAGTCAAAATTATTGAAATTTACTATCGAAATTCGGAGTCAATGGCCTCAACTTTAAGAGCGCAACGTCCAATTTACGGTCGTCATAATCGTCCTGTCAGATCAACAAATGAGCACCTAGTGGAAAATTTTTAATCCACATAAACAGTACAAAACGTTCCCTTGTCAGTGATACAAAGAAGTGCACGTAGTGCCGAGAATATTGCTGCCGCTGGCGCATCAATTGAGGAAGATTCAAATCAGTCTCTCACCTGTCGTTCTCAAGCGTTGGGCTACTCTGCGACTGTTTCTGGTTCGTAAGCATAGATCCCAGACTCATCGGCAGTAATAATACGTTTAATAACATCCTGGTTCAGAGACGATTTTCTTATTGGCGTTAAATTTAGTGCTTTTGAAAGCAATCGTGATTTTAATTTTTTCAGGCCCAAATGATCTTTCAAAACGGTTTTCTCTAGACCTTCCGATATTCCAACGCTGCAAGTAAGTTCTCTGACTGTTAATCTTCGATTCTCAGGCACCAATTCCTGCATTTTATTGAAGTGTTGATCATCAGTTGATGTTTAAGGTCGTCCATGAGGTGGTTCGTTTTCAACGCTTTCTCGACCCGTTTGGAATAATTTAAACCAATCAAAAACTCTTGCTCGCGACAAACAATTAATACGAAAGGTATTTCGAACATTCTGAAGGTTTCGGCACCAGAAATTTGATTCCGCACGCAAATTTTAATAGAACTTCTTTGCGGAATAGTTTCAGTCGTCGTAAAAACCGCCAAACGCGCTTTATGTACTTCAGAAAGACAAGCATATACTAAACACTAATGACTATTGTGATTCAAGATTTGGCACTTGGCTGTTAAATATGCCGATCTTAAACTTTTGACACGTCCTAGTCTCCTGAGGAAGCTGCCATACACGCTGAACGATCAAGCCTTTTTATGGGAAACTTTTTTATTTGACGGGTCACCGTTTCGAAATTTGGCTTCGCTACAATCTCTTCGCAATTGTTCAGAACTTAGAACTTATTACTATATCATATAGCTGACATACAAAGTGAACAATAGGAATCAATGTCTTATAAGGAATAGTTCGTTTTAGTGTAGGATATAGAACTTCGGTGTAGCAGAGGTTGTCGTAAGTTTTTTTATATTTTTTTTTTTTTTTGTAAAAAATTATTAATTGTATTTCAGGCAGCTGTTTTCCACATCTTATTATTTATTTAATTATTTAGTT